CCCCGGCGTCTTTCCGCAACCGGGCTAGCGCCAGCCCGCCACTTTCTCCCCCGAGAGCGCCAGCTGGCCCGGGCCCAGCCCTTCCCGGTGTGCCATCCCCACCCGGCACTGCAGCTCTGGTCATATGAGCGGCAATGAGCAGAAAGGCACTTTTGAATCTGTGCGCACTCGCCCCTCTCTTCCCACAGTGGCAGGATGGCTATGACGGACCTGCTCAGCGCGGCGGACATCAAGAAGGCGGTGGGAGCCTTTGCAGGTGAGTGGCTTTGCTCCCTCGCCTCCCCTCGGGGCTCTGGGGCGATTTTGCTCCGCTTTGGGGAAGGGCAGAGGCGCCGGCTGGATCAAGCATCCGACGGAGATGGGGAGAGAAGTGCAGCGGGAGCCTGTCGGGCTTCTTACACCCGGGATGTGTCCTCTGCAAACTTCCCCGGCGCTGCAGAGCCTGACCCGCTCCCTTCCCCCCTGGGCAGCACAGGCGGACACTGTTCTTAGGGCGGGAGCTGGAGCAAAGCTATAGCCACCTTGCGGGTGGGGAGCAGAGCCTAGGGGACATCCCCACCCCGTCCTAATCGCCCCCAAACCCAGCCCCGAGCGTTGCGGGTCAGCTGCTGCAGCCTGTCTGTCCGTTCGGGGTTTGCTCTTCGGGCTGGGGATGAGTGAGCGCGGGGCTCAGCCTGCTGAGTTGCACTGGCTTCCCGCCGCGCAGATGGCTGCGGTGGTCCATGCTTCAGGCACAGATGCCTCCAGGTTCAAACTCTCAGCCCGCGCTCGACAGGTGACCCCCAAACAAACCCCACCATCCTACACACACACACACACACACACACTGCTGCCATGCTGCCATACCCACACACACAGCTGCTGCCATCCTACACACACACACACACACACACACTGCTGCCATGCTGCCATACCCACACACACAGCTGCTGCCATCCTACACACACACACACACACACACACTGCTGCCATGCTGCCATACCCACACACACAGCTGCTGCCATCCTACACACACACACACACACACACACTGCTGCCATGCTGCCATACCCACACACACAGCTGCTGCCATCCTACACACACACACACACACACACACTGCTGCCATGCTGCCATACCCACACACACAGCTGCTGCCATCCTACACACACACACACACACACACACACACACACACACACACACACACACACGAGTAGGGGACCTGGGACCGGGACTTGTAGTCCCACCACAAAGTGACATTAACCGTGGTTTAGGACTCAAGCGTCTCCCCCCAGACTGACCCCCCCCCCTTTTATCCGAGGCACTGCTGCTGGGAGGAGGGTGCTTTGCAACCATGAAAGCCCGCTGCACTTTGATTGCCCCTAACATTATAGGGGCCCATATGGGCAGGGGTGCTGGGGGGGGAGGGAGCATTGGACCAGAACTCCATCCTCCTTCTCCCCTTTCCTATCAGTGGTACCAGTGCAGCAGAGACCTGCCTCGGAGTACAAACTATTCATCCCTATGGCCACTGGGAGTTCCAAGGTGCTGTGTGGGGATAGAGGAACCGGGAGGTGTCAGCCTGACCTAGAGGGAAGGCCGATCAGGCTGAGCAGGCTAGAGCTCTGATTTCTGAAAGCGGACATTTTAAAATGTGTTGGGTGCAGTCTGAGTCCTGCTCAGGTTTCAGGGGAAGGCTGGTACTTCCCTTGGGGAGATCCCGCTGTGTAAGCACTGGAGAGAAGGGAGGAGAGCGGGGCTTACTTCCCACTTTCCACAGTGCCTCTTTATGTGACCTTGGGTAAGTCACTTCCTTTCCCCTTCTGCACAGTGGGAGCATTGCGTGTCTCCCACCTTTTGTCTATTCAGGATTTAAGCTCTGGGGCAGTGACTGCCTAGGGCTCAGCCTATGTACAAGGCCTACCACACTGGGGCCCTGACTGAGCAGCCTCTAGGGGGAGAGGGAGAAAACCAGGAGCCTGCATCTACATACCAATGTGCAGCAGCCCCTAACTAACCCAGCCTCACTCATCTTCCCCCGCAGCTGCCGAGTCCTTCTGCCATAAGAAGTTCTTTGACATGGTGGGACTGAAAAAGAAGAACCAGGAAGATGTAAAGAAGGTTTTCCACATTCTCGACAAAGATCGAAGTGGCTTCATAGAGGAGGACGAGCTGAAGTAAGCGAGACGAGTCCTCCCTGTGTCCTTGATATTTTCATTTGAGTAAATCACACCCTAGTACAGCGGGGTCCTATCCAGTCCCCTGCCTGCCCTGTCTTGGAAAGCATCCGGCTCTTTGCATGGTTCCAAGGGGGGAGTAAACAGTTAAAAGGATCACATCTAACTTTATGTGGGCGGTGTGTTGTCTAACAACTACACCATCTTAAACTGTCAGGGGACAGCACTCCTTGCCGTGTGGTAAAGGTCACTAGCTTTGCCTTTGGGTTCCATTGCATGTCTCAAAACCCCTGCCCATAATCTCAAAAAACCAGAAAGATTAAATGCAGTTTCATTAGATTTATACTGAAGGGCTTCACCCCCGATGGCAGAGACCTATCTGATAAAGAAACCAAGACACTCCTGAGTGCTGGAGACAAGGATGGCGATGGCAAAATCGGCATAGATGGTACGTGGCTCCGGGAAAGGTCAAATTCTACCCCTAGTACATAAATTCCACCTTAGGTTTCATTGCCGGCTGTAGTTTTCTGGAGGGCAGATTAGGATTTAGGACTTGTTAAATGTGCAGTGCCTTCCTCGTGCAGAAACTGAGTCCCAACACTAGTGGGAGCAGGAGTTCACAGAAACCCAGATTTAGCACAAGTTGGGAGAAAGCAAAGGCAGACTCACACAACAGAGAGCTAAAGGGCTCCATCCAACTCCCACTTGTGTCAGTGGGAGTCTTTTCATAGATAGCAATGGTCTCAGGATCAGGCCCTCAGAGTTTATAGGAGCTGAATTTGGACACAGGGCTGACAGAGAGAGCAAGCAGGAGCTAAGCTCCATTAAAAATGCTGTTGCATTTCAATGAGAATATAATGCATTGAGTTTTGATGGGTTAGCAAAGCAAATTCTGTTGAGTAAGTCCAATGTATGGCCTTCATGCCATCATTGTGTATCCAAGTTCCCACAATGGCTGTGTCTAGACTGGCAAGTTTTTCCGCAAAATCATCTGCTTTTGCGGAAAAACTTGCCAGCTGTCTACATTGGCCGCTTGAATTTCCGCAAAAGCACTGATGATCTCATGTAAGATTGTCAGTGTTTTTGCGGAAATACTATGCTGATCCCGTTCGGGCAAAAGTCTTTTTCTGAAAAACTTTTGCACAAAAGGGCCAGTGTAGACAGCAGAGATTTGTTTTCTGCAAAAAAAACCCGATCGCAAAAATGGCGATCGGGGCTTTTTTGCAGAAAAGCGCATCTAGCTGGCCACAGACGCTTTTCTGCAAAAAGTGCTTCTGTGAAAAAGTGTCCTGCCAATCCAGACGCGATTTTCCGAAAATGCTTTTAACGGAAAAGTTTTCCATTAAAAGCATTTCCGGAAAATCATGCCAGTGTAGACGTAGCCATAGTGCTTTTAAAATTTCCTCCTGAATTGCTTGCAATAAGCTTGTCAAGGGTACAATCTGTCTACTGTGGATCTCTAGTATTTATCTTCATGGGAAAGATGAAGAAACCTGTCATCCAATTTCATTAACTATCAAGATGATATCATCAGGTTTACAAGAAAGGGGCACATTCTTGACCCATGCATGGCTAAGAAATTTGGAAACTGATCTTTTGCTCTTCCTGGCATCTTAAACTAGCCCACCAACTACATTTCTCCTTTTCCTTCTTCTTTTCTCTCTTCCACATTACTGAGGTTCTTCAAACAGCTATGAAGATGTGCAGATCCAAATGAAACCTTTCCCCATTATAAGAGAAGAGGGGGAAGGCAGGGACTCTATCTGGAGCATTATGTCAGCTCAAAAATAGAAAATCACTAGGGATGACTTACAAAATTACCCAATGAGAGATGACATAAGCTCAGCTGCCTGTGTAAGGCACACCAGTAGAAGAGTGTCTATGAGCCTATTTCTAGGCTACAGCCTCTTATGTCCTCAGCCCCTGATTATGTCACAGTGGCATATGAGCAAACCAAGCGGTTGCTGATTAGTATCAGCAGTCTTGAACTCAGGGTTCTATGTTCAAAATCGCAGATACTTTCACTTGCTTGATTACTTACAGACCCTTCCTAGTCCCACTCAGATCAGTGGCTCAACTCCCAGAGCTCTGAACAGGAGTTGAATTTTCAGTAGTCAAGTCCTCTGAAGATCCTTGTAAGGATGCTCAGAGTTGACTATCCAAGTTGATACCTCCACAGCCATGAAACAGGAGCAATCTCAGTAGAGTTGAAAGAACACTCTACTTATGAACTATTTCAGACTCAGCGGAATAGCCGTGTTAGCCTATATTTCAGACTCATCTTAGTTTATATGAAAGAGAACAGTGTTGGAGTCACTTAAATTAATGCTGTGGCAAACATTCAAAAATAGTGAAAAACAAGTGAAACAATGCAGATCTGTTGTATGAGAGCAGCAGAAGTATTTCCTTTGCCTGAGTCTCTTCTCCAATCAGTTTTACATCTGTGTAAAAATCCACTGAATTCTTTGGAGTTACTGTGGATTCACATGAGTGTGTGAAGGGAATCAAGCTTCTTATTCTTTTCTTCAGCACATTCCTGGTCACATCTTCACCAAGCAACATACTAGAACTCTCCTCCCTCCCAAGCCTCACTTTTCCAGCAAACTCATGCACAAGTGAGGTTTGGTGTGTGTGGCAATTTACCTGCTGTGGAAGACAGAGCAAAAGAGCGAGGGGAAATAGTGATCAGTGACATGTTTGAGACAGTTTGCTCTGTCTTACAATATGAATGATTCCAGAACCAGAATAGGGAGATCCAGACTTTTCCCAACAGATCACAGCATGTATCTAATACATTAATTCAGGCCCCATGCTATCTGAGGTTTTGGGAATACTTCTAATTCTACCAATCTTTTTCTTACAACTATGTCATAAAGATGGTCAGAATTCAAATGCACTATATGTTGGCCCAAGTTAAAAAAATTAGGAGAAAAATCAGGAGAGGTTAGAAAATGCTCTGATGAGTTTTTCTCACTGTTGCACTTCTATGTGTCCCAAAATAATGTATTACAAGTTGGGGGAGAAGAAATGATTAGTCTATAATAAGTTCACACACATAAAATAAAATACCACAGGTTTGTTCTTTGTCCCCCTGCAATGTTGAGGGAAAGTCTGCTGGTGGGCCAAAGAGCATTTCAGAATAAAGTGAAAATAAGTTTTATGTAATTATAACTCTGGAATTCTTAAACCTGAGATATTGAAAATATAGGAATCATTCATACACATCTTTGGAACATATAGATAAGTTATTCATATACATAAATGTATTTTATTAAATAAATAACTTTAAACTACACTGACAATGTACCATTATAGCATCAATATAACTATACTTTAGAAAATATCTGGCTATAACCATGTTTACATTTTATTCCATATACAGCAGATGTTAGAAAAAAGATTAAACTATTGTTGCCAATGCACTGAAATGTGCTATCTGATATACATTAAACACAAGGGCTACGTCTAGACTGGCATGATTTTCTGCAAATGCTTTTAACGGAAAAGCTTTTCTGTTAAAAGCATTTGCGGAAAAGAGTATCTAGATTGGCACGGATGCTTTTCCACAAAAGCATCCGTGGCCAATCTAGATGCATTTTTGCACAAAACAAATCTGAGCTGTCTAGGTTAGGGGCTGCTGACCCACAGAAAAATCACTCTCACTGATGTGACCCCCGACTGAAAGGGAGAAAGACACTCCCTACATTCCCTTTGCACAAGAGGGACCCAGGCTAGTAGATTTTGTGTGACCCAGCCCCATGGTGAGACGACGGGGGGCTGGAGCACTAGCTCGTGCTTCCCAATGCTGGGGGGTGGGGTGGCCTGAGTTTCAGGAGCTGTATCCATGCAAGATGGGGGCTGCAACTGGCCTCCAGGCCTTATATTCCCCATTCCCTGTTTTATAGGATGTAAATCCAAACTAGGATTAGTGGTGCAGAATATGCTGTGTAGACTGGCAAGTTTTTCCGCAAAAGCACGTGCTTTTGCGGAAAAACTTGCCAGTCTACACAGCATATTCTGCACCACTAATCCTAGTTTGGATTTACATCCTATAAAACAGGGAATGGGGAATATAAGGCCTGGAGGCCAGTTGCAGCCCCCATCTTGCATGGATACAGCTCCTGAAACTCAGGCCACCCCACCCCCCAGCATTGGGAAGCACGAGCTAGTGCTCCAGCCCCCTGTCGTCTCACCATGGGGCTGGGTCACACAAAATCTACTAGCCTGGGTCCCTCTTGTGCAAAGGGAATGTAGGAAGTGTCTTTCTCCCTTTCAGTCGGGGGTCACATCAGTGAGAGTGATTTTTCTGTGGGTCAGCAGCCCCTAACCCCAAAAAGGTACTGTACCCGTGCTATAGAATGAAGAACTGATGAGTGTTAATTCACTTTAATCTCTACTGGCATCTCTGAACAGGATGGCCTACTAGGGTTTATCAAAAAAATATTCTGGAACACTCTACTGTAGGCATTCATTATGTCACTGTGGTTATATGATTGACCTCATTGCTAGTAATTGTTTCCTAACATCTAAGATCCATTTTCCATACTTTTACATTTCAAGGCATTGCTCCTCATTATTTCACCTGTCAGTAAAGTCTTCTCATGTATTTACAGCTAGTTACATCCCACATTTGTCAAAGTTACTCTAAGTTGAAATATTAAAATCCCCTAAGTCTTTCCTTTTGAGGACTTGCCTTCTAAACTGTTCATCAGCTTTGTTGCCTTTCTTTAGATTCCCTTCACTTTATCAGTGTCTTTTTTAATATACTGAGGTACTCAAAACTTTACACAGTATTCTCACTTGTCACCATTCCAAGTCTATATAGAGAGAGAAATTATGAGTTCCTTGGGTAATACATTATTCAAAGCTCAATGTGGGAGAGAGTTATTGAGATGCCATTACACCTTTCCTCTGCTTTATAATCTTTGCTTCAAGATTTATTGTTTACCCAAAACACAAGGAAACTAAATGCAAGTACATTGATTTTTTTAAACTGCTACAGTTGTAAATAAATAGCAATAAAAGCCACAGGGTGAAATTCTGGCCCTATGAATCAATGGGAATTTTGCCATTGACTTCAATGGGGCCAAGTTTTCCCCTAATGATTTTAAAGCAGAAGGAATCACAGCCTTAGACTTTAAAAACGTACTGGCTTCGGTCAGTTTGCCAAATATCATTATGAATTATATTTAATATATTTATAATACTGGGGGCACAAATGAAAAATCTTTCTGACATGGTGCCAGCCAATGACATAACTGGGGGCACAAATGAAAAGTCTTTCTGACATGGTGCCAGCCAATGACATAGTGGAATTCATTGCACTACAAAACTCTGCAGTGCATGCCTTCTTTCTGTTATGTGATGTCTGTTGGGTTAAAAAAGGAAACAGATATAGTGACTTAGCAGCTAAAGCGGCTGGCCAGCCAGGCATCAATGGGCAGTCTAGGTGGACTGACGTATCCTGAATGCCCTCTGTGGCTTCTCAAAAATATTTTTGCTTCACTATGAGGTTTTCTGACCCTCTGATGATTCAGGTTTATGAGCCATTCAGTTATTTAAAAAAGTTGTCAATGAAGTTGATCCGCTGACTTGGTGACTTTATGAACCTCTTTTAATGTGCTGCTTCTTTACTTACTTTTTTTTTTTGCCATTTTTAAACAAATTTTCTCTTCTCCAGAATTCATAATTTTGGTGGCTGAATCATAAAGCCTTTGACCAATCTGAACCCTCCATCTGCCCTTCATCGCCTGATTCCAACCTCCTTCTGCTGACCTCCTTGGCTCCTGTTCTATTTATTTATATTATTTTATACTCCCACTCTGTTCTCTGCAGCCCTGTAACTCTTTAACTGTGCTGAAAGATGCTGTTAAAATAATAAAGGTCACATCAATTTGGGCTCTACTTTCTGACTATCACATGTTCCTTCCTTCATTTAGGTGTGGAATATATTTAAGAGGAAGGGGATATTGTTGGGTTTTTTGCAGAAACCATGCCTGCTTTGTATCTCTGATTAGAGTAAGGTAGGAAGCATTTTAAATAATTATTTGGTGTGAAATATACCCAGAGGCTACGTCTAGACTGGCATGATTTTCCGGAAATGCTTTTAACAGAAAAGTTTTCCGTTAAAAGCATTTTCGGAACAGAGCGTCTAGATTGGCAGGACGCTTTTCCGCAAAAGCACTGTTTGCGGAAAAGCGTCCGTGGCCAATCTAGACGCGCTTTTCCGCAAAAAAGCCCCAATTGCCATTTTCGCGATTGGGGCTTTTTTGCGGAAAAGAAATCTCTGCTGTCTACACTGGCCCTTTTGCGCAAACGTCTTTCGGAAAAAGACTTTTGCCCGAATGGGAGCAGCAAAGTACTGATTTCTTACAGTAGGAAGTCAGTGCTTTTGCGGAAATTCAAGCGGACAGTGTAGACACCTGGCAAGTTTTTCCGGAAAAGCGGCTGATTTTCGGGAAAAACTGGCCAATCTAGACACAGCCAGAGTGATTCATTCAGGTAAGACTAATTTTACTGTCCTTAACCATCTCTGATAGATGGATGCATAGGCAAAGCCTTGAAAAATATCCAGCAATGGCAAATACACATTATTTGGCAGCTTGTTCCTCTGATTTAACTATTCTTATAGCTATGCATTTCTAATATTTAACCTATCTTTTCCTTGAGTCATGTCAATGGTCAAGACACTGCTCTCCACCTTTATTGTTTGTTAAATCGTGTACAGGGCCTGGAGATCTTTGGAGGAAAGGTTCTATAGGAATATCAGTTGGCATCTGTCATGCAGGAGGCTAATTTCACACTACTGAAACACAGTCATTTCTGAGATGGAGTGCAGTGTGTATTTACTAGCAACACTACACACCTACTTAGGCCTGGAATGAAGAACAATTCACTAAATGAAACCACTGGGGGAATTTTTGAAAAGGAGAAAAAAGTAAACACATGCGCTGAGATTCAGCCATGATACTTGTGTTAAAATTTCTATTTGTTGTGAAAAATATCATGAAAATGTTAATACTACTGGATACTGAGTCACCACCATTGCATCATACAGAACACCACTCCCTACCACAGGTGCAGGCAAAATACAGCCCATGGGCTTAATCTCGCCCACCATGATCCTCTGGGTTACCAATGGCCCATGGCCCAGTGGAACCCTAGAGCAGCTTCCCTGCCTGCTGTGCCCCCACACACCACTTAAAGCAGCTGGCTGCCGGGGCCAGCTTGTGTATCTCTGTGCCATGAGCTCCCTGTGGTGGGGGAGGAGGGGTTCTGCACCCTGCCACTTTCAGCACAATCCTTGCAACTCCCATTGGCCAAAAACTGGTCAATGGGAGCTGCCTGAGCTGTCCCTGTGGGCACACACACTTCATGGAGCCCTCCTCTCCCCCATGCGATGTGCTGTGCAAAGACACACACGTTGGCCCCAGCAGCTGACCACATTGAATAGCATGTGGGGATGGGGCAGGCAGGGAGCCTGCCCAAGGATTCTGCTGGGCTGCTGGCTGGGAGCTGCCCTGAGTAAGTACCTCCTGACCAGAGCTTGCACCTAGCACCCCACCCCCTCCCACACCTCAACTCCCTACCCTAAGTCACAACCCAAGCCCTCTGCATCCCCTCCTGCACCCTCGCTCATGCACACCCCAGTCACAACTCCTTCCCAGACTCTGCACCCCGTCAAATACCCTTCCTCCAGGTCAGAATCCTCTCCTGCACCTATACATCTTCCTGGACCCTACACCCTCCCCCAGATCAAAACCCCCTTCTTCCCCAAACTCCTTCCCAGACCCACACCCTCTTCTGCACCCAAATCCACTAGCCCAAGTTCTCTTCTGCAACCAACCTCCATCCCAGATCCCGCACTTCCTCTATTACTATCATGGAAGAATTTGACCCTTGACCAATTACCAAATTCTTGGAGTGTCTCCCTCCCCCCATCAAAAATTATTTCCCAGCACCATGATGGGCACCAACATCACTCAATGTAGCAAGTCAGCAATCCATAGCTCCATGCCAGGACATTGCTCTGTGTTGACTCAGAAGGCAGAATACTTGCTGAAGTTTGTGTTCCTACTAAAGAAGTCCTCTGCTTTTGAAGAACGACAAAGCTAATGGATGAATGAGTGTGAAGTAAAGTAAATGAAAATGGAGTAATAAAGCAAGATGGTGTTTGCTAATTTGATGGCTTTTACTCAGCAACTGCTGACCTCAAGTGGCAATAAGATGTAATTGCATGGATAATAATCACAGGATATGTGTGAAAGAGCATTAAGCAAGCGTAGCACTCACAGGTTAGTCATTTTTGGCCAAGCTCAAACCTGTGCCCTCTGGACTTTAACACATGAAGCTCTACTGCACAAACTGTGAAAGAGCAGGAAAGCCACAAGTATTAAAAAACTAAGGGTCAGGTCACAGCCCCTCCAAAAATTGTGAAACTGACTTAAAACCATGAGATTTTTTTAAAAGTAAAAATGAATTTCATTTTGAAGCCTTTCTATTTGCCTTCTTGTTTGTGAGTGTTTAGGATTCCATCTTTTTCTGGAACTATGAAGGTTAGAAACTTACTTTTACAAAAGTTTGTTGCACGATCAGCCTATGGTTGCTCAGCTGGGTTCCATCAAAGTTCCATTTCAAACAAAGTTTCTAACCTGTCTGGTGGTGATGAAAAATGTTCCAAAGATGAATCAAATATGAATCAATAGCCTCTTCAGTCTGAAAGGTCTTAAACAATAAAGTGTGCTAGTTTTCAAATTTCACTATCAAACTATTGTTAATGATTTCACTGCTGAACTCTTAACATCTTAGCTAATTCAAAAGCTTCAAAGGAGTAGCTTCTGAATTAGCTAAGATTCAAAAATCTTACTGAGTTAGTCTGTAACTGGAAAAGAAGTAGGTTGTGCCATCTGAAGAAGTGGGCTGTGCCCAAGAAAGCTCATGATGCCATCTACATGTTTCGTTAGTCTTTAAGGGTATGTCTACACTATCCCACTAGTTCGAACTAGCGGGGTAATGTACTACCTAGTTCATGCCGCGTGTAGCCGCGCGGCACGGGGTTCGAACGAGCGGGGATTTAAAAATGGCGGCGCCCCGCTTATGCAAATGAAGCCCGGGAAATTCAAATCCCGGGCTTCATTTGCAATTGCGGTATGCCTACATTACCCTGCTAGTTCGAACTAGCGGGGTAGTGTCGACATACCCTCAGGTGCTACAGGACTATTAATTGTTTTTTCAGTTTTATCTTAGCTAATGTTCTTGCTCAAACTGCACCCACATTTTTGCAAGAGGCAACAGCCCCAATTATTCACCCTTCAATTGACAAAATTCCCAGCACCTTCTATTATTCAGTTATGCAATTTTGACACAGAAGTTTTCAGTTGTAAATAAACATTTGGGGCACCATCAAATAAACTGAACCTCACATTAAATTAGAGGGGATACAGTACTGACTGAATTAATATTTTTTCAGATTTACTTCAATAAAGCCTTCAATTGTTGACTGTATCTAATGCTGACATGCAATTTACTGTACAGATTGGAGACCACAGCCAGCCTTGCAACAGAGTACACAGGGTATACATTATACTATGCTTGTTACATACATAAAATAGACCTGTAGTGTAAGGTCACATACTCAAAATAACAACCCCTACCAATTGTTATGTGCCTTTGCAAGACAGCAGAGTTAAACTCCCTGGCTACGTCTAGACTGGCATGATTTTCCAGAAATGCTTTTAATGGAAAAGTTTTCCGTTAAAAGCATTTTCGGAAAAGAGCGTCTAGATTGGCACGGACGCTTTTCCGCGAAAGCACTTTTTGCGGAAAAGCGTCCATGCCAATCTAGACGTGCTTTTCCACAAAAAAACCCCGATCGCCATTTTCGCGATCAGGGCTTTTTTGCAGAAAACAAATCTGAGCTGTCTACACTGGCCCTTTTGAGCAAAAGTTTTGCGCAAAAGGACTTTTGCCTGAACGGGAGCAGCATAGTATTTCCGCAAGAAGCACTGATTTCTTACAGTAGGAAGTCAGTGCTTTTGCGGAAATTCAAGCGGCCAGTGTAGACAGCTGGCAAGTTTTTCCGGAAAAGCGGCTGATTTTCCGGAAAAACTGGCCAATCTAGACACAGCCCCTCTTAGCTTCCTGATTTTGCAGATAAAACCATTTTCTCTGTCCTGAAAGTTAAGATCTCTATAATCTTCTCCCCTGAGATACAAAACTTTCAGAGGGGTAGATGTGTTAGTCTGTAATTGAAAAAAACTTTAAAAAAACCAAACAGTCCTGCAGCATGTTAGAGACTAACAAAACATGTAGATGGAATCAACGCACTTCTTCAGATGAATGGAGTTTAAGAGGTCCAGATTCCAAATAAATAGCAGAGAAAGAGAGGGAATGGGGAGGGAAAGGAAAGGAGAAAAAAAATGGGAAAAGAATAGTCAATTAGAGTGTCCATGCTAATTGAAGCTGATTGAGTGGGTTCTAAGTACTCTTAAGTACCTGGGGTTTGGCTTTTTATGTCATTAGGATGTGGAATGTAGCAGGTAATCCCCGATCAGGAGTTTTCTGGACACTCGTTAATGGATCTCAAAGTTTCCAAGCCAATTTTAAAAAGCCATTTGAAAGGGAATCTGCAGAACTTAATTTCCTCTACAAGTTTGATACCTACAATAAAGGTTTAAACAAAGACCTTAACTCAGTGGTCCCCAACATGGTGTCTGTGGGCTCCATGGCGCCCGCTGGGCCATTTCTATGTGCCTGCCAAGTGATTGGGGCCGGCTCCTCCCCCGGGCACATGGTGCATGGGCAGTGCCGGCCCCTGGGCGCGCAGCATATGGGTGGTCCCGCCCCCGAGTGCATGGACACAGGAGCGGCGCCGGCACCGCCCCCGGCCCCAGGAGTGCAGCACATGGGTAGCACCGGCAC